TGGAATAATCCCTTGTACTCTAAGCAGTTTCACAATAACAGGGGTTTGACACTTACCTAAATATGATCATTTTGTGTACTTTAAAAGAGAGAACATCTGTTTTTCTCTGTGCATTAACTTTGACAATATCCCAACATACTCATATGTATTTTCCTTATATGTAATATCTGTGGAGCTGGTTATTCTTTCAAAAGTGCTGACTCTGGTCTTCTAGTCCAACTTAGGCTGAGCAGTGCATTGAGACTGGGCCCTGTGCTCGAAAACAAACCTGATTCTTCTGAAATGAAGCCCAAGCAGTGCAACAAAACAGGACAGAACCTAGAAGACAGTGTTGCCTGTTCTGAGAAATCTTGCTGGGTCTGATTTAGGAAACTTGGTCTGCCCAAACTGACCCTGGATACATGTACCTCAAATACATGGAGATACAGCTCTGTTCACTCCTGGAGATTCCCTGCTGGTGAGTGGCTGCGGTGAGCCTCAGGATGTTTCTGAATGTTTCAGTCTGGTTTGTGATGCTGTAACAAAGTCCCCGAGGCTAGGCACTTTATGTGTTCAGCTCACGGCACTGGAGATGGCAAGAGTATGTTGCCAGCATCTGCTGGGCCCTGCTCTGGACTTTCTAGCTACACCACCACAAGGTGGCTGGCATTGTGGGGGGACCATGTGCAGGAGAAAGAGGTCACACTGTGACAGGAAGCAAGAGACCAAGATGGTACTTGATGAAAAATACCTGTTCCTTATTATGCCGAAGATGTTTGAAATGCAGTGAGATAGTGAGGTTAAGATTGATAGCCCAAATCGTTTGATAATAACAATAAGCTTTTCTTCTGGATGGTTAACAACCTAGTTTGCAGACCAAAATTAGAGAAAAAGGAGGGATACAAGGAAAGCCAACATTTTGGCCCTAGCCTTCTAAGGTCAATTAAGACTCAGGACATATGAGAACTTGTTCTGTAACGTCATGTACCTCGGTAGTGTCCCAAATTTTCTGATCAAGAAGATTATGGGGCCAAAGAGGAAAGTGATCGATGACATAGAGTGTGCCTAAGGAGAGTCACATGGGGAGAAGACACTCTCTCAGGCTTTCACAGAGAGCACATTGGCCAAGCAATGGCCGTGACTCATCCACATGGCTGCACTGATAAAGGTTCTACAATCTGAGGTACAGGATCTCAGGACAAATCCTGAGGGCATTTCACTGACCTTCTCAGACCAAAAAGCTACAATTCTTGTTGCATAGGTCCTGCTTTACCTTGGTCTTTACCATCCAGCAGAAAAGTATGAAGACGAAATTATAAGAAATAAAGCCATGCTGTTAAGTTGAGCTGTGGGGGACTCAGGTCAATAATTTCTGACATTGCCAGTTAAACAGAAGACCCAATGCTATTATGGGCTACTGGACTCTTTTAGAATATTTTGCTGAGTTTACACACCTATAATATTCAATAACGGAACTTAGAAAAATGGGGTATACAGATGAATGTCCATTTTGTATCTGTGTATTCAAAGTGGTTGGGATAGATATATAGTTACATTCTGTTAATGAATAGAATGATTTGTTCTAATGGTGTTTGTAAATAGGATCACAAGTCCGCATCTTGTACAGCAATTAACCACTAAGAAGAATATATGCAGTGTATTATTTGTTGAAAAATAAAAAAAAAAATCTGAAAAGAAAAGAAAAAAAGAGACCAAGATGGGCTTTGCTTTATAATAACCTGCCCTCCGGGGCATGGACTCATTTCCTGAGAGGAGCATTCATTCTTTCTAGGGCAGTGCCCCATAAAGACCCACACTCTCAGTTTCTACCACCTTGAGACCCTAGCCATGAGTTTGTGCCGCATCTGTGTCCTTCCCCACAATGAGCCTTCCTTGCCTTGGTCCTCAGCACAGTTGCTCCTCCATAGCAGCCCAGGGTACTACAGGAGATGGAGCTTCCTTAACAGGTGTCACTTATGTTTCTACTGAGAAAAGGCCAAACATAAAAGCAGCCTGCCCACCTGGAGCTGACAGATGGCACTCGGTGGTGGTAACTATGGTTTCCTGGTGCTGGCGAGGAAAAGCTCATATTTGGGTTTTCTAGGAAGGGAGAAGGTAATGGCTTATGATTGGTACTAAAGGCTTATGAGCTCCTTAAAGGCAGTCTGGCTATGACTTCCAATTCTGCATTTCACTGTGCCAAGCAGTAAAGTGAAGGTAACGGATACTTGGAAAAAGCTCATGAGTGGAATGAAAAACAAGGATGCATGTGAAGTCCTATGGTACCTAAGATCTAACTTAAAATATGTCTTGAATTTTAAAAATACTTGGATTCTTGGCTACTGCTTTTATTCATGGGGTGTCTCCAAGGGACTTAAAGTCATTTTTAACCCAAGATAACTTTATTCTGCAGCGATAGCATAGGTGACACTACTGACTTGGAGGCACGTCTCTATGCTGTAGTGCATGACATGCATAAGCAAAGCCCCACTGATGTGCCCAAGAACAAGAGCCCAGGCAAGCTTGGAAATTGTTCCGAGCACCCATGGAGCTTCTCTTGATAAAGGCGGAGCTTCTCTGGCTTCAATGTGCATGGACCTTGTCACACTGCACACTCTGACTGTGTACACCTCAGGGGACATGGTTCTGCAGCTGTCACATCTCCCAGGAGAGAGGCTGCTAGTCCAAGATCACACTGTGATATCTTGGGAATTTGTTTCCACCAGATACAAGAATTCTCTGGTAGTTCATGTTAAGAAAGTTAATCCTTTTAGGGAAAAAATCAGTCTGGGCTACCTTTAACAGTTGATCCTAGCTAGAATACTAGCTAGTCTTCCTAGAGAAAGAGAAAGCAAGCAGTAGGTAGTGGCCCAGGCTCCTGCTTCTTGGCTGGCATCAGTGCTGAACACCAGGATTTTATAACATTGTGTTCACTTCATTTAATAATTTAAACTCTCTATTTAAGGTGCTGATACAGTGGTACAAAACTACCTTAGTTTAAATAAGTTGAGTTGAATTAAAAAGATACAGCCATCAAGTATCTGTACTGGTGATTGTTAGCTATAGTAAAGATCTGTAAGGCAGAATGGCTCAACTTGGACAGATTATGGGGTTGCTAAGTGAACAGTGAATCTCCCCAAATCCTATGTAAACCCCTATAAACAAGAGAGATTTTATAGGGACAGTATAGTTCCCTTAGGGTATGAAAAACTGAGTAACTAATGAACCCCCTGCTACCAAGTCAAGTGCAACTAAACATCAAAGACTGAAAGTCTGTGCTACTTCATAAATCTAGCATCTGAGATATTTGACAGATTTTCAAAGTCCTCTACCTTGTGACCATTATAATGGCCATCAAAATCACTGTCATCCCTTAAAGATGATTAAACATCCCCTCTTTTGGCAGAGGACTGCTTCCCTACAGTGGCCCAGAGAACTACAATCTGAGGCAATGTACGCACACACATTAACCCGGCCAAAGAGCTTTGGGAAGTCTGGCTCTTGCATCTGTTCATCTTCCTCAGAGGATTTGCTATTGCTAATTCAGTCAAGATTCTGAGATGTCCCCTAAAAAGGCTGTTTAGTTTTGTTCAATCTGGCATTTCCCAAACAGATTTGATCACAGGACTCCCTTTGGGAAGGAAGTTTAGTAATAACTTAAGGAACAAGTGTCCTGAGATAGTCATCAGTTGCTTGTGAAACTATCCGGAACCCATGGAGATAGGATGCTTTAACTAAGGGACAGAATTCTTATTATTGTTTGTAAAAAACAAGGGTTTTTACAAACAATATTAATTAGCTGGGGCAATTATTGGATAGCATGTGTGTTGGTTGGTGGCTAACAGCGAACAAAAACAGTCAACTGTTTTTATTGTTGGAATAAGTGCTTTTCCGTTTAGACCAGGTATGTTAGAGAAAAATTTAAATTTTCACATGAAACATCATGGAGCCAAACATGCCTCTAGTGACAAATGCTTGAACTGGGACCGCATCTGGCTGTAGGTGAAAAGCCAGTTCAGTTACCAATTGCACACTTTGTTGCCCTTCATCCTCTGCTTTGATTGAGGACTCTGGGTAATTTTAAAGGAATGCTCCATGAGTATAGCTCTGTGCTACTCGTCAGCTGCTTCTGCCACTGCACAGGACCTACTGCTGCTAAATGACTCGTCCCTTTCAGTAGGGCAGCCCAGATCGCACAGTGGTTGGCCCTGCAATTGGACAAAGTGTTTGTGCTTTACCCTGGCTGATCTGAGGGTGCCAGAGGACTTACCTGTTACGGTCAGCTGTCTTTTTTAAAAGATGCTCTATTACCCTATCCCAAAGAGTCCACTTTCAAAAATTCTCTTGCCATTTTTTGAAAACACTCTGAAATGTCACAAAATTTTTCTAAAAAATATGCATAGCTGCAACATGGAATTTGGTGTTTTCTCCACTCTCTATCACTAAAAGAACTAGAACTGCTGCCTCCCTAGTGACTGCTAAATACTTTAAAACTTACAAAAAGACAATATGACATTGCATAGCACGTACAGTCTTGAGTTGTATTTGCCCTTAAATCATACTTAAGGAGAACTAAGAGATTTATTTAGTTTCTTCAAAACCGGTATTAGGAATCTTAAAGCTGGAGAATCAGCAGGCAAACTCTTTTTGTTGGAGGTGGGCTGCATTCAGTTTAGTAAACTAATCAATCTAATGCCTTTAAATAAAAAGTGGTGATGATATCAAAGGCAGGAAGGAGGATATCAAAGGCAAGGAGGTTTGTAACAGTTGTAGGAATGTAATGATGGCATGAATTCAAAGGTTCTGAGCAGGACTCACTGTGCTTTTAACTTTCATTTTTGGAACTTGACTTTTATGCTATTTTGAAGTAAAGGAGGGAAGAAAGAGCTTCTCAAAGGGCAGACTGAAGGTGACTCTTTGATCATTTTCCTTAGCATTTGTTTCTATGCTTGCAGAGGGCTTAGCAGCCATTCTATGTTCATAGTAATAACTCTGAAACAACAGCAGTGCATTCGTCATACCTCCAGCTCCAGCTCCTCCCTGTCCATCTCCTGGTGGATGTCCCCCATGTAGTCATTTGGGTCGTAGTACTCGTGGGCCGAGGGATGCCTGGAAAAGAGGTGAGACCTTTAAAGCCCTGCTCCAGTGTCATCCTCCACTTTAGTCACCACAGGGCAGAGTGGCAGCACTTCTGAGGGTGCAGGTCCTTTTGTGATTAGGAAACCCTCCCAATATTTCTAGCAGTTTCTTTAGAACTTGTTTCCTGTGGGAAACATTAAGTTGGAGGTGAGAGGTGAGGTGAGGTGGACTTCACCCAGAGTCTCTTCTCAAGCCCACTAGCATGGGATCAAGGTGACTCATCTCTGACTTGGTATCTGAGCACAAGATAGACTGATAGCTACAGCTTACTGATTCAGTGTTTGATTTCTGTTTCTGGGGAGGAAGAGGCTTGTATGCTGGCCTCTGAGACCAGTTCTGAGGGGGGTGACTGAAACTGTTATGTTCTCATCTAGGAGCACAGTATCTGCCTGAACTTTCTGGCTGGAACCCACAACCAGCAGTGCATCTGAAACCACAGCTCAGTACCCACAGAAGGTGTAGTGTACTCATACAAGTGCAGACATGCATGTGTGTGCACACATACTCATCCTTGTGTTTCTCTAGGACAACATGTGTAAAACACAGTTCATAGAGCCTACCATCCCCTGGAAATGTCTTTAATGGATGCTTGAAGTCACAGGCAGTGGGAATTATGACAGGCTCAGTGAGCAGCTCTGCAGGAGCTTAGAGTCCACAGGGCCGGATGCAGATGGAAAGCTTCTGCCTGGGAATGTTGGCTGGGGACCCAAGCCTTCAGTTCTCAAAGGTCAGACAGCAATCAAGGGCAATGGTGGTCCCTCCTCGGCACTTCAATTTGAAACAACGTATCAGACCCGAGTGGTCATTCAAATAGGACTTGGCTTTCAATTTTCTGGACCCATCAGGCAAATATACTGCCTGCACTTAATGAGCTTTTTGTTCTGAGGATACTATTAGAAGGTTTGGGCTTTCAGGCCTCAGCTTAATGCCTCCTGTTCATTCCTCATGCATGCTCTTGTTGCCAGCTGACCTTGCAGCCACGGCCTGCACAGGCCTGACCTCTGGACTCTTATGACGTTTCTCAAGTTGTCCCTGGAGATAACTCATGTCATGTTAACTAGACTTAAGAGGAAATCAGGGGTTTGTCTTCTAAAAGGCCTGTCACTGTGATAGTTCAACATTTTAGAGTTGCAAGTGGCCTTAAAGGCCTCATGAATGAGGTGAGGCAGTTCTGCTCCATAACATCACATAACTGGCTTGAGTGATCATGTTCACCAATCGGGCCAGCTGTACCCCAGGAACCGCTGGGACACCACAGAGTGTCATGGCCAGGAGCTGAGTCCTTCACACTGTCCCACTAACTGTTCAGAGCCAGTGCATTTACAGTGCCTCGTCTGTCTAGGCAGGATAGTGATGGCAGGCAGAGAGCTAACAGGGCCCCACACTCACATATGTGCCAGGAGCCCTGCCTGCTCCTTTTGTGCATGGTCAGCTGCAGTGGAGCCCACTTTTGTCATGTCTGGGGAGTTAGCCTTGGGTTCTGGTGACTCCTCACTACTCAGCTCCTTGTGATGAAAGGCAAGCGTCTGTCCGGGGCTGGACAGGCTCCCAGGAAACATGTGTTCACTCTGGCTACTGAGTTACTCAGAAACCCAACAGATGCCAATCACTCAGAGGCTTTTCCTGTGAGCATTAAAAATATACTTTCACACAGGTCAATTATCTGAATCCTGTTGGAGCCAAAATGGTAAAAGCCAAGGGTATGATGTGTCTACGAGGTGCTGTAGAGTCACACGTGCAGAACTGCATCCCGCTGGGCCACAGGGAGCCAGCACCCTATGTTGGAAGGCTTTTAAACTCTTTGCTCTTTCTTGTTTTATGTCAGGCACAAAATTAACCATTGTTTCTGCCATTTGTTACGCACTTCATGTATGCCATGCTGAGAACTTTACATGCATTCTATCATTTAATCCTTCAATAATTGAAAATATTTTATGCCCATTTCAGTTTGGCACAGGAAAAGTAAGGCCTCAGGGAAATAAAGACAGAGATGTAAATTCACATCTAGAAATAAGTGTGACCATGAGGATGTTTGACTTAAAAACTCTAAACTGTTGTCTCTGGCAGAAGGTAAGGTAAGAGAAGAGTCATTTGTGAGGAAATTAATACACTGTGTTGAATCGCAGCTGTTATTTAATCGGTATATGCAGTACTGTTGTGGAGCAGTAACGTATGAGCTTAGAGCATGGATGTGGGTTTGAAATGCTACCCAAGGAAGCAGAATCCATAACCTCCGGGGCTCTTTTTATACTTACAACTTACTTTGTTGTCATTTAAAAGAACAATCAGTATTCCCTCCAGTGATAACTACAAAATCTCCAAATTACCATTTGCGGTGATTAAATTTTATTCCAAAACAACTTTTACAACATTTGTAAGTAATTTTGTTCTTAGAATATAATTTAAATAACTCTGCTCCGGGGTTATAATAAAGTCATTAATATGTCAGAGCCGTTTTGAGCAGGATTCGATTTATTGCCTCTATAAACAATAAAGTTAAACATGGAGAACTTGGAGGAAAATTACAAGATGCATTAATTTTTTCACCACTTGGAAGGTAAGACGTCAACCTTGGTACAGTTATGTGCAGACCTAACATGTTAGGGAGTCATGACTAGGTTACTTACTCTTCTGGCAGGAGATAGGGGTCTAGCACAGGTGGGCTAGGAGAGGACATCTTTGTCAGGGCCATGATGTGCTCAAAGGTGATGTCAGTCTGGGTGCCTGTGTCCACCAACTGGGACTCCGCCGGAGGGGTGAACATTTTGGTCCGAGGCGTTCTCCTTAACACCTGCACCACAATGGGCTCCTTAGCTGTCTTAAAAGCTTCCACAGCCTGGTCATGAGTTGCTCTGGATAAGTCTTTACCATTGACCTGTTGACAAAGATTTAAGGTCGGATGGGTTACAATTAAGTCGTAACTGCAAAGGTAGATTCACAGCTTGAGGACTCTGGGGAGAAAAGAGTCAAATTGAAGATGCAGAGGTGTCAGAGAACTTCAATTCTCTCTGTTCTCGTTTCCCAAAGAATGCCTGGTGGGCAGAGGGTGAGCCTGGAGATATACAGATCTGACATTAAATAATGAATCTCACAGCAGGGAAGTCTTGGCTTCCTAGTGGAATGTCTTTAATGTAATTTCGTCACTTGCTAATCTTGCCTGTGAAAGAAAAGACCATCCTCAGGCTCCCAGCCTTTATCAGGTAATAATAGCTAACTAGAAATTAATTACATTGTTATGTTCTCATGGTGTGTATTTCTCCAGTTTTTGTAAGGTGATACTAGTCCTCCTTTTATGGAAGTAATATGCAGTTTCCTCCTAAATTTCATTCATTTGCTCTTTCTTAAAAAGTCCAGTGAAAAAGTAAGTAAATGATGGTACTCTATTGACCATAAATGGATGCTACAAACAGCACAGAGAAGAAATGCAAATAACCTATGTTTGAGGACAACAGTAGGCTGAATTGCTGTTTTCTCTCACACTGTGTACAGGGCTTTGCTGTTAGTACTGCAGCACCAAAACCTGTATTTAGCCTGAAGTCTACTACATGACTTTGATGCAGAGTCTCCTCAAAGCATGTGCACCTCTTTCCTCTACAGGCTCTCATAAGCCACCTGTGATGACATTAGGTCCTGGCGGGTCAGAACATGGGGTGCTATGCCCAGAATTCTGCCCACAGTCAATGCTAAACCAACAGAGCTCAATTTGCAGAACCACCTTATACAAAACAAAAAACAGAATCTAGTATCTAGAATGTGAAGTCATTCCAAGTGTCAGGCACATCTAACAATTTAATTTACTCTTCTGCTTCTCCTCGTCCAGAAAATACAGTATGTGCAGATAGGTTCAATGACATTGTATGAAGCTTGTCAGGTTCCAAATATTTTTTATTCTCCATGTATTTGGTTGGCTTTTTAAAATCAAATTTAAAATGCTGGTATATAAAGGACATTTCACAGAATATATAGCTGAGTAAGCTCCCCAACCTCTTGGATCTTCTGATGAGAATACTACCTTATTCTAACAGTTTCACATAGGAGGTGCTGAGTTTTAATGTCTTCAGTTGAGGGTATAAAGACAAACTCAAAGCCTTTGTAGGTGAGTGGATGCAAGTAGAGGCTATACTCATAAATGAAATAAACCAGACCCACATGTGTAAATATATTGTCTCCCTAGTGTAAGAACCTGAAAGAAGAAATAAAATCTGAAAGGCGTAACATATATAGTAAAATAGAAAGAAATGGAACTTAAGGATTAAATAATGAAGAGGAGAGAAAGGAGAAAAGATAGGCAAAAAGGCAGGGGGAAAAACATGCAAGTGTATATACAGGAGGGCTGAAGTGATTGTACTAGGAATTTCCACCAGTTTTTTTTTGAAAATAGCAGTTAATGTGTAGAATTTTCACCTTGACTAACTCTATACTAATATCTATGATCTAAGCAACTACCTTGAGGACATCAATGTGTAACACAAAAACCATGCTTGAATACCTGCCATTTTGGTCTTCTAAATGTGCACTGTTTCTAATGTCATATCAATTATTACTATATTCTCTTTAAAATAAATTTTTTAAAAACAGTAAAAAGAAAAAAAACAAGAACAAAAATTTAAGGTTTATTGAAAGCAAGTGGTAATATTCAATCATATGTCCAAACTTGCATAACTATATCTGTTAATCTGAGCAATAGTTTTGATGATAAAAATAGGTAATAGATCAACCATTGTTAGCAATTCTTGTTTTGAAAATCTGTAACATATGCGTTGTTGTATGTTATCCTGTTTCTGATTTTTGTTCCTGCTTTTGTTTTTATTGTTCAAAATAAAATTAAATTAGAAAAAAGTTGAGAGTCCATTCTTTAAACATGTATGCATTAGCATTTATTTACAGAGGACAAAATGAGCAAGAAACCACAACAGTACCCTGCCTGGCATAAGTTTCCAACTTCCTAGCTTTGTCCCCCTTTCCTCCTTTGCTTTCTCTACAATCACCTCTCCGTTGAAGTATCCTGTGATTAACTAACTGTTGGGTGGGGAACTAGACATCAGATTTGTTCCCTGTAATGAAGCCCACATGAGTCATTGGAGGTAATTAACGATTGGGATTCAATCCACTTTAGGTAATTTACTTACATCATGAGGGAGAGATACAGAAGAAAAACTCTGAGTTACAAAAGGACTCAAGTGTGCAGGTACATAAAGGAATATCTGTGCCACCTAACACAATCCCCTACCCTAGAGGATGGAGACTAGCTGGATTTAACCTGCAGCTGTCTTTATGCCTCCTCCTTTGAGAAAAGAATGAATGGATACAAAGGAATTTTTCCTAGGTTTGCAAATCCAATTCCATTATGGTTCCTTCCTTGCTTAGAGCCCAGAACACCTAGGGCTTGGGCTATGTGCGATGAGGAGGGAGTGGGTGGATAGAAAACAACTGTAATAGTGAGAAATTCATGCCCAGGGCAGAACAATGAGAGTCATGTTTTTCATTAACGTGTAGTGCCAGGAATCAAATACAGGTGTGCGTAGCCCTTGTCCCAAATGGTAGGCCTCAGAGTGCTTAAGATTTCAGATTTTAACAAACAATTTAAGTATTTACATAAGACTTTTCTTCAGAGTGAAATCTGAAAGCTCAAATGTTCTGAAATCTGAAACTTTGAGAACCATTGCTCAAAAACTGTTGAATTTTAGAGCATTTCAAAATTAGGGATGCTTTAGGGCTGGCCTGATAGCTCAGTGGACTGAAGTGCCTGCTTAGGCAGAGCACAGTGGCTGAGATTTGATCCCCTGCCTACCAGCCCCACTCCCCAGGGCTCGCTGAGATGGTAATTGAGACTGGGCATGGTAGAGTGCACTTGTAATCCCAGCACTTGGGCAGCTGTAAACAGGAGAATCACTATGAGTCCGATCTGTGTAGTGAGACCCTGTAGATCCAGAACTAAATACAGGAAAAAATAATTAGGGATACTCAACCTGTAATATAGGAATTTAGAATGCAATAGTAAATCAATGTCACCTGTCACACCCTTAGGAGCTGTGGGTGTGGCCAATGCCAATCAGTCATCTTGGTCTTCAACTCTTGGTATTCACTGGGGACAGCCTGTACCAAAGTATGTTTACTCACAGTGAACTCAAACATCAACATTTAGGGGAGAAAAAATACCTTTCTTTGCATATAAATAATAGGCCTTTGACAAAAAGAAAAAAATATGAGATTTGCTTTCTATGATATAGTCTCTACTCTTCAACTTTTAGATGTCTTCAAAAGAAACGTGTAGCTAAGTAAATAGAAGGAAAGGAATCAGCCTCCAGGAGTCTTTTAGTTGTGTCTAACAGAGGACTTTGCCCTGCAAATCTTTACTTTTTACATGCTCAGTGAAGTCTCTCAGACCCCAAAAGGGTGATGCCAGCTGCCTAGCCTGCAAGGATCCTCCTACTGCCACTTCCTCTGTGCTAGAACAACTCTGTGGACCTCATCTCCACCAGAACAGGCATCTTTCTCTCTGAAGGAAAGACTCAGGAGGTGGGATTTTGATTGGATTTAGTCTCTGTAAAGGCTACATTTATTCCTTCAGCCTCATGGAGCATTTAGGCATGGGGTGCTGGGCCCTTCCATCTGACAGGCTGAGATGGGAACTGGCGAGGAGCTTGAGGTGTAAGTTCATTCCTTTTCTTTTATTAGTTGTGTTTGCAGTACACAATGAATACATTGATTGTGGGTGGGTTGGTACAGGAACATAACACATCTTAATGCTTTTATCATCCTTTTCCCTTCCCTCCATCTCTCGGTCATCTTGCTTTTGCAAAAGATCTATGTCTCTGTTTCCTATTATTTGTCTTTTATTTTGTTCTTTAACTTATTTAAATTTTCTCATGTAAGAAAAACCATCTGAGCTTGTGTGTCTGATTTATTTCACTTAACTTTCTCATCTTAAGGTCCATCCATTTTCTTACAAATGACTCAAGCTTATCTTTCTTTATGGCAGAGTATTAGTCTATTGTGTATAGATGTCACATTTTCTTTACCCATGCCTCTGCTGAACACAGACTGCTTCCAAGACTTAGTTACTATGAATTGTGATGCTATGAACATAGGTATGCAGCCACTATTGTATTATGACAATTTAACTCTTTTGAGGAGATATCTACAAGGGGAATGGTTGGGTCAAATGGAATTTTTATGAGGAATTTCCGTACTGATTCCTAACAACTACTGGAGCTGGGGGTGGCCCTTTCTGGACTTGGGCAAGCCATCTGCATGCAGTTCATACACTTGCTGCAGCAGCTTGGGGCTAGGTGTGGAACCAGGTTCAGAGGTCAAATTTAACATGCTGAGAAAGGCAGAGGAGGGTTGGGGTTGCTGCTGATAGCATTGTGTGAGGGAAGTAACCAAGTTTAGAACCTCTTACTGTTATAAAGATTTCTCATTATGTCTGACTATACATTTCATATACTTGAAATTGTTTGATTTAGATCTTAACTACTCATAGTGCAAATCATCCTAAGTGGTATAAACACCACATAGACATATGGTGCAATTTGGCACAATTATATTTTTTCACTTTTTCTAAAGATTTTTTTTCTATCTAGATAAAAATGGTAGTGAAAGTGCTCTTACTAGGGATGTACTTTAATCAGCTCAGTTTTATAGGAAAGGAAGCTACTCATTTCCTTGGATAGATTTTTAAAAATATATTTAGTATAGGGTCTACAGGGTCTCACTACACAGATAGGACTCATACTGATTCTCTTGTTTTCAGCCTCCCAAGCACTGGGATTACAGGTGCCCACCACAAGGCCCAGCCTCAATCGCTGTCTCCACGCACACTGGGGGCAGGGGTGGCATGGCATGGGAGCCCTGCCGGGTCAAACCCTGGTC